AGAGGCGCCGGACTGCGGGAGCGCCCGAGTCGCGAGCTCGTGGGGGACGGCGAGAACTACGCGTGCAGCGAGGAGGACGCAGGCGGCGACGGCGGGCGGGCTTGTCGGCGCAGCTTGGCCCGCGCCGAACTACTAGACGTGGCTGCCGGCCTCTGCTGCACCGAGAGCGGCGAGCCCCCAGTGCCGCCAGTCCGTGCCCTCCCCCTCCGGCCCCTCCCTCCCTCCCTCCCCGGCGCAACATGGCTGCGGCCGCCGCCTCCGCCTCCCAGGACGAGCTGAGTAAGTGCCACGGCGAGCCTGCGGCAGCGAGCCGGAGCCGGCGCAGCGCCGGGCCGGGGGCGGCGGCCGGGGCCGGGCGGGAGGGCCTGGGAGCAGGGCCGGGCTGGCGGGCGGGCGGAGGCCGCGGCGCGCGGGGGGCTGGGGCGCTCGGGCCTGGCGGGCGGGCGGGCGGGGCGCCGGCCGCCGCCGGCGTTTGTAGGCCTCAGGTTTGCACCGTCACGTTGCGAAATTGAAACCGGAGCCCCGGGCGGAGCCACCTCTGTGTGCGATCCGCCCCGGCCCGGGGGTGGGGGGAGCCTAGCCCCCTGCCCGTAGGGGTGGGCTGGCCGGGCGGCCGGAGCCCCATGGGGGCGGGCTGTGTCTGCCGTCCCGTCAGACCCCTCCGTGGACCCCGGGCCCAACTGTTGGGCGAGTTCTAGAAGTGGAGCTTTCGGGAAGGAGGAGAAGGTGCCGTGTTGTGACACTAGAAATCAGCGGAAAGGTCAGGAACAGGCGGTGACCCTCAGGTGGAGCAGGAAGGACGGGCGGGCAGGGAGGATCGCGGCGCTAGCCGCAGTGGAAACCTCGGGGTGACAGCGCTTTCAGAAAGGAGAGCCAGTGCACACTTGACCTTAAACGTTGCAGTTTTCCGGGGGACGGCGATCCACGCTCGGGGAGAGCGGTGGTCACCCTGAATCGCAGGCCACCTCGCCCGTCGCCCGGGTTCGCCTCGGTGCTTTGTGGGAAGTGTAGTCCCCGGGTGCCGCAGGCCCACGCTGGGGTCATAAAAATTGAATTTTCCTAAAACATGCAAGACAATTTCTGATTGCCTTTGGGGTGGTTAGGTGAAAAGCTTTAGGCAGAGGTGTTTTCTCAACGCTGCCCTGCAGTTTAT